AAATAGAGCTTTAAGTCTGAGAGATAAAGATAGGTACAGTTAAATCTGAAGTGTCACTAGAAGTGAAGATATACATCATATCCAAGCAACTTCCTGTATTGTGAGTTTTAAGTTAACTTCTATACATTATTACACTCAGAAAAATCCTGACATATGGAAATATTATTTAGCACCTCACTACTTCTTGTAAAGTGACAACCAGTTGCATTATCATTTTCACCAGAACACACTACAGAATCACAGGTTCACATTTGGTTATGGCATTATGCTTGTTCTCAACTGTTTTTTCATCGCTACCACCTAGGTAAAAAAAATCCATTTATAAATTGGGAGTATTTCTGTACTACGCTTGGTCTATAGTTAACAGGCTGCAACAGAATTGCATTCGTGTAACCTACACTAGTTTATTACTCAGAAGATTTATAACTAAAGGTAACCAAATTCACATCCAGCTTCCCCTCAAAGCAGTAATGAGTACAACATACTCTCCTTGCACCACTTTCACCTCAAACTCATTTCTTACCCCCAGAAGCTCTATCCCACCCAGAGGCAGCCCTCAACCTCCTTTTCCCCTTCAGCAGCTCACACGTTAAGCACAATAACCTGTCTTAACACTGCACTGAAGCCAGAGTAAGAATGGCAAAGTGACATATCAGCAAAAAGATGCATTCATGAACTGTAACTGCTGACTGACCAACCTACTGTTTCTGTCAAAGAAATACAAAGGACAAGAGTGATACAGCACACACCAGACAAGCGGTGCTGTTCTCCAGTGCACATAGTTTACCACAAATACGTTTTCAACTAGTGTAAGTATCTTTCTAATGACTGTTTCCAAATCATGCTTCCTCTAAGAGAAGACACTGTCCAAATGAAAGTTAGGTCTTCAAATGCCCAACAATATACAGTTCAAAAAAGAACCAAATTTACCTTCCATATCGAGTGCACTTATGTATTTGGAAAGCTACTGATTCGAATGACAACCCAGAGCAGTAATTCTAGACACAACATTTTGCAGTCCAGCAGGTGACTGCACCACCTTATATTGTTCTGTAACCCAGAAGTTAAATGACAGTCTTGATTTGAAACCAAACTGAAACAGGGCCTCAGAAGATGACACATTACCTTAAGATTTGGCTTTTATGGTCAGCTATGTGACTCTTGCTACCTTTGACATAGAAGTATTACTTCTCATAGATAAACTTAATGCAACAGGAAAAGGCATCACATTTTAGCCACAATGTTACCTGAACTGTACAGAGGTCACAAAAGACTTACTGCTCAGAAATGCAATTTAAAAAGACTAACCGGTAACACAACTGTACAGGAAGAGTTATTTTAAATTAAAATAGAAAACAGCTGCAGTAACCACTTTTGTCAACTTCTACCTACTTAAAAACCATTAAAGCAGTAACCTTAACTACTACTTCGGTCAATTTATGAGATGTGCTAATGACAACAGCAGGAGGCACACTTGACTGAGAATAACTAGAGTTGAGATAAATATATACAATGGGAATAAAAGTATTTGAAGGATAACACTACACTAACAATCCCCTTGCAGTAACTGAAGCTGAGCACTGGCCCTAGGCAGTTACTGCTGAGCTCTTCACAGCTCAACTATGTTCATGGCAGGGCAGATATTTCACATTTAAATACCTGCATCCAGTATTTAAACTAGGTTCAGTTACAATATGCTTCATATAGACAAGCCACAAAGTAAACTAGCATAGTCCATCAGTCACACCTTTGTTAGGTTTTATCTATAAGCAACCCTGAAACACCAAATTCCTTCGAACCAAATCTTCCCATCTTCCACAGATCAAAGAAAAAACTAGAGTCTTGACCAGGACCTCCCTTGCTGGAAGAACACCATCAGGTTGCCCACAGAACTTCATCTCTTTCCATTTCCTCCACAGTTCAGTACATCAAGCATAAGGGGCATTATGACGCAGTTCAAGAGCCTTCTTAAGGATATAGAGCAATATTCTCCAGAGTATCATCAGCAACTTGGGAACCCAAGCTGCATTTGATAAACAGCACTCAAACTCCCTTTGAATGGAAGCGTATTGATATTCTCAGATTTCACACTTTATTGCCACAGAGCACATACATAAAAATTAGATATAGTTGCATTATTCAGCGTTAAAGTCACTCTGTCAGAGACCATCACAAAGTCTTCTGTGCCGTCCTTGATGCACATGATTCCTACTACAGAAATTGCTCCAATATTTAAATGCTATAGTTTAACTGAGATGAGAGCAGCTGACATCTTGCTTCCTTCCAAACAGCAGAGATTTTAAAGAAACTGAAGCATTTGCGGTATGCTAGAAAAGCCTTAAAAGAATATACGCTCAAAGACTCTGCAAAAGTACAAACTGTTCTCGCCCCATTCTGTTATACATCTTGCAATCAAAAACTGTAATACACTATCAACTTTGGACAAGGCATGAGGGGAACAACTTAGTCTGCATAATCTCGCTAAGCAGCCTCATTCCAGCAGCACTATAGTAGCACTGTTTAGAAGACTCTGGAGAGATGGGACACTTGGGATGTGTTCGCTTGCTAGCATGAATACAGAGAAGAAAAGCTCTTCTATTGCTAAGGAACATTATTTCAATACAATTAGAAGTAACCATCAGTTAGTTATCGTTGGTGTAATATAGCATGGAAGAAAGTTATTCACATTTCCCTAATAAAATAATTAGGCTTTGACGAAACACCCATCCTCAAATCATAGCGTTCTGGAAAACCAATGACATCTAAGTTTCAGTTCATCTTTGTGAATCCAGAATGTATTTTGATACAAATCATACATAATGAGTATCACTACTTTGTCAACAATTATATTTTCCTAGAGAAAGAAGAGGATGTACCCAACATACCAACAAATACCAAGTTTCTCCTTTTAATTCGAAACCCTAACAATAAAACAGGGCTTAATCTGAAAATATTCTACTAGCTGTAGAGTCTACCTCCTTTAGCAAATACTTTAAAAATATTTATAAATAAATAAAAATAAAGTAAAAACAAAGTAAAAATACTTTATCTACAAAATTTCTATTTTTGTCTCAAACTTGTAATTTTGTATGCAGCCTCCTTATGAGAGGAAACCTACAGCCTTCAGAATAAATTAACCCACAAGGAACTCAAATAATGTAGTTAACCTCCAAGGAAAACATCAAATATTTTCCCCTTACAAATTATTTTCATTCACGCTTTTTGCACTCTGTCATTTTAAATACTACTCATGAAATTCTTCACTCAATTGAAAGCTCAGCAACATGCCCCTTATAAATGAGCTTCTTTATTAAATTACTTCAAAGAAGGTGCTTCTTTAGACAGTTTGTCTACATGGTACTGATGATGATTAAGACACTTCAACAGAAGCGATATGTTAGCGACAAGTTACTGATGTCGCTAACATCAGTCGCTAATGCCAAGCTGACATTAGTTTCTGATCAGAAAGTAAAGTATAAAGATTAAAACTGATTTCAGGAAGTCAAGGAACTCCAAAATTGCAAAGATTAAAATTTCAAATAAAAGTCATATGATTTTGGTGGATTATTAATCTCCTCTCAGTTCAAACTGCACACAAAAAACTTAAGCAGAGCCCCACACTGGATCATTTTGCTTCATGATTTTTAAAATCAGTGCTCAAAAGACCACCACAGCAAGTACACAGCTAACATGGAGGAGCATGGCATGCTTAAGGGTCACAAAGAAAATTGGAAGCTTACTTACACAGTCAGTAAGTGTAAAACAATGGCAATAACATTATCAACCAAGATATCGGTAGAATGCTTGAGCAATCATCCAAAAGCAAGCATGAATACAAATCAAGAGATCTCCTAATAAATTCTCACAGTTTGACCAGAATAGATATAAAATTGCTGTTGAGGGGAATAAAGTTTCAGTACAGTCACTGCAATCAATCATTTGTGAGCAGCTAACTGCTTAAAAAACCCTCAAAGACTTCTGGGATTTTTAACCCAATGCTCTTTTGTCTGTCCTAAATTGGATGAGAACACACAAATTAATGAAGCCATAGTACATGAACCCCTCTATGGATTGCACCAAAACCCAACAGTAGAAAACAAGCACTATCCTTTCAATTTAATGCCGAGACTTTGAAAACAAGCTAGTACACCAGGTTATTTGTCCTGGTACTCCAAGCTCTTCCCACTTCTTTTAAGGTTGTTGCACAGCAACCTGGGTCTTGGTTATACAAGCTCTGACTCGTGTGGAACAAAGGGTATTCTTGCCATCATTAGACTGGGCTTCTACAGAACTCTGGCTCTGCTCAGGCCAGAAACTTGGTAGAATTTAATCCACCAGTCATTTGGAAAGGTTAAACTTCAGGGTTTTGGTTTTTTTAAGCTTCAGAAAGCAGACAATTACTTTCTTCCTTTCCTTGTGCCTGTATCAAGTGTGAACCCTAAACCTTAGAATGAGAGTTAGTTTGCCATGCTTTGCAAAACTAAACAATGTTATGTGCTACATGGCTTTGTGTATATTCTAGGGTTACCTCCTACAAGGATCCACTGCCACAAACATATGAAATGTCCGTGAAGTTCACATTGTTTTTTTTCTAAGAAAAACACCTAAACAAATTTCAAAAAATTAAGGCTAGCTCAAGTTGACATTCACTTACACATTCTCCCTCAGCCTCCCTGAAGCTGTGTACAATTATTTTTACAATCCTCCAAGCTACCTTTTGGAGGCGTTAAATGCAAGATGCTAAAAGAAACAGAACTGTATTACATCTTCTGATGATAAAGCTAAAAAAATCTTCAGAAAGCAGAGTATTTAAAAGAACTAAAATGCAAACTGACTCCCAAGAAAAGGTTGCACCTTTCTTCCCAAGGAGTGCCTCAGGTAAGGTCTGCGGTTCCCTCTCTGAATAAAGCAGGCCTCGAGTTGATGGATTTTACCTCGAGTGGATGGATTTTACCACACAGCCTAGGACCTGGGAGAGTGACTGTGCTTTGGTAATTCACAATTTTTATTTATTTTCCCTGCAGCTCGCACCAGGCAACTTCCACAGTGGTATCCGTATCCAGCCCTTTGTAAACAGTTTTGAAAGAGCCTCTTCCAATCTCGATGTCAAACTTCAGGAAGCGGCCATCAGGGGAGATGCCCACTGCCTTGGTCTCAAGCTCTTCAATGTCTTCCTGCTGTGTTCTCCGCTCCTCAAATTCACGGCTGGCAGCTGACGCGCTGCCAGCGGCACTGGTGGGAGGTAGCGCAGTTGCCTCGTCCTCCTCCTCCTCCTTGGGCAGCAGTGGGGCGGCATCCTTGGCGGCAGGGGTCTCCTGAGCAGACTGTCCTTCGACGGGAAGCGGGGCAGGCGGCGGCGGTTGCTGCAGCAGCGAGGGGGCCTGGACGGCGCTGACAGCGATGCAAGAGGTCCGGCTGGCACACTCAGGAGGAGAGACCAACGGAGCGGCGCTGCCTCCCGAGACAGGGGCCGAGGGCGCTGCGGGCTGCAAACTGGGTAGCTCCAAGGCCGTAGCGTTGGAGTCGCAGATCACGCTACGGCGGAAGAAGCGGTGCTCGGTGGCTGCCGCCCCTCGGCTGTCCTTGTCCATGGTGTGGCGGCGGCGCCGGTACTCCTCACTACGGCCTC